TGTGTGTGTGTGTGTGTGTGTGTGTGTGTGTGTGTGTGTGTGTGTGTAAATTACAGGGAATATGGTGGAGTGGTGCCTGCCTCACGACATCAACCTAGATGGAGTTGAATTCAAGTCAATTGCCAGCGGTTCCCATCGGATCACCAGTGACTTTATGTATGTACTCCCAGTCTCCCCACTGCTCACCCCCACCAATCATGAAGCATGAAACCCACTCCATAGAGGAGTGTGTGTGTGTGTGTGTGTGTGTCACTGTGTGTTCACTCCTGCTCTTTGTTTGGCCTGCGGATAGATATTTCCGTAAAGGCTGTTACTTTGGGCTGGCCTGCTTCGCAAACGTGCCTGTGGAGAGTGAGCTGGAGCGAGGAGCGAGGATGAAGTCAGTGGGAATTCTGTCTCCCTCCTACACTCTGCTGTACCGCTACATGCACTTTCTGGAGAACCAAGTCAGGTGAGACGCGCTGTGTGTCACGCTTCAGTCTTCTTTGGTTATTTCATCTTATATCGGCATCTTTTTGTCTTCTGTTTACCTCCTTTATTTCGCTCCTAAATGAGTTTACAGGCCTCTCTTTATGCACCTATCCCCTGCCCTTGCTTCTTTGTTAAAATGTTAGTCATCTATTAAACATGAACCCAGAGTCTGGGTTACAGCTATCGTCGCAAGAGCCCATTTACATGCTGTTTTTGTATGAAGTCTAAGCACGGAGGTGGGAGACGCCTTGACAGCCCCTGTTCTCTTCAGCAACTCTGGTCTTCTGCTTCAGTTCTCTCACGAAAGCTCATCTCCTCATTGACTATGTATAAATATATATATGACACAGCAAACAGTTTCGGCTTCCAAATACAAATGGCTCAGGTTGCAACCAAATACAAGTGGACCTGAATTAATCTGAACGGAGTCTGGTAATCAAATTATTTTATTTATGGACCGCGTGTTACCTTAAATGATCCCACAATGCAATTTAGGAACAAGGGATGGTTCACTGACCAAGCACCATCTGTAATCTTGAACTACCCTCAATGGTGTCTTGATCCACACAGACCTCCATTTACGTTGTGTAACAAATATCAAACTACATTGCTTTAGTAATTGTCTTTAAACCTGCGTGAGCTGTGAGTGTTCATGGTCGAGCGACATCGGCAGATAATGAATATGCACTCAAGCTAGCTTAATCTGCTCAGTTATACATTTTACAAAAGGCTTGGATGACTCATACATGACATTCTTCCTCTTTCTCTCTCCTCTCCATCTTCTTCCGGTCATTGCCTTGTAGACTCCAGCTGAAGTGTCCGGGCCAGTACTCTCCGCTGGAGGCCTTCTACGAGGATAAGAAGGCCGTCCTTCCCCCGACAGCAAATGGTCTGGTCACCGCTTGCCCGACCTGGAGTGTTACCACCATCAACCGCTGTATGCACCCAGAAATGAAGGTGCGAAAGCAGCAGAGCACATTGTTGGTGATGGCAGGTTTGCACAGCAACAACAACAACACGTATTTGTCTTTCTTTTTTCTCCCTGCAGATCACCCACCCAGCTGGCTGCATGTCCCAGTTCATCCAGTTTTTCGGGGAGCAGATAATGGTGCTGTGGAAGTTTGCACTGCTGAGGAAACGGATCCTCATCTTCTCCCCTCCACCTATAGGTGTGGTCTGCTACAGGGGTGAGAAGCTCTAATGCACATGTCAACACACACTTTATGCAAACATGTCAGGGTGTAATATATGTTCAGGGTCATTTTCTATATCCCTGGAGATCCTTCACTCCCTATGTTCTCGTTCTTCCCGCAGTGTATTGCTGTTGCTGCCTGGCCAATGTCTCTTTACCTAGAATCGGTGTCTCCGTGCCTGAATTACGGCCGTTCTTCTACGTCAACATAGCCGACATCACTGCCCTGGAAACGGAGCTGTCATACGTGGCCTGTGAGTGAAGCTTTCACTGCATGTAAATGGCTGATAGACCGCTATCTGTAATATATGGAAATGACTCCTTATGTATGAGCGTGTTTTTTTTAATGATGGCATTCATTTATTTAGGCACCACAGAGAAGATTTTCGAGGACAAGAAGGAGCTGTACGACGTCTACGTCGATAACCAGAATGTGAAAACGCACAGAAGCCATTTGCAGCCGCTGCTTCGACTGAACGCTGCAGATAAGGAGAAGTACAGGAAGCTGAGTGAACAGAGGTACATTACACACTGTCAAATACTGTATATCTTAACTGATTTTCAAATGTGATACATGCATCAATGTTTGACAGTTGTATGTTCAAATTAGGCTGCAAAATGACCGTGGACACTCATAATGGATAAATACTAGCCAGTGAGGGGCAAAATTACTTTTCACATATAATGATAGATGATGGCTTTTTATTTCCAGGCAGATGTTGCTCTACTCTCAGGAGGTGGATGGAGACTGCACGTCAAATGAAGAGGATCTTTTCATTCTGTGAGTCCTTGACAAGTGTATTCACAGCTGCTTGCGTACTTGAGTCCTAATCACAGGCAGTATGTTTTAAGGAGAGTCGTTCAATTATATTGGTTTTGTCATTTTAATGTGATGCGGAGGACCACTGCGTGACGCACTTGTCTTTAATCCCGTCCCAGGTTCTTCATGGAGCTCAATAACCGCATCTTCCAGACCCTGTCGGACGTAGCAGGGAGCACCGATCCCACCCTCACCGCTGAGCACGTGAGGGCCATGGGGCTGGATCCCCAGGGCGATCGATCCTTCCTGGTGGACCTGCTGGAGGTGTACGGGATTGACGTCACGCTGATCATAGACAGCCTCTGCTGTACCTGAGCCCCCGTCAGCTTTGGGGAAAAACTCGGAACGCCACTGGATATTTGTGCCTTCAAGGCCCACTCACACCAAGACAACGTAGACACTGCCTCCACCCTGGGACGTCCATCTGTCGCCTGCTGTCCCCCTCCTGGGTTGTCTGTTTCCCCTCTTTTGTGTGTCTCATCTGACCTGTGGAGACTGTTTCTAAACAGTGTGGTTGATGAGGACAGTTGGTGCACTGCTCCACGGGGGCTGATAAACACTTGCCTCGTAGATGATGCCACTTGGCAGCTGCGTGGTCTTACAGCCATTCACATCTTCCGTGGCTCAGTGCTGTGTTTTTTTTTTTTGTCAGAGATACTAGTTTGTTTGTGTGCTCTTGTTTTACCATGATTCCAGCTGAAGTGGCCAGGGCTGGAGGTCTTGATTGGGTCTGGTCATTGCTGCAGGATAACTTGGTCGTTCTTCACTGCACCCGTCACAATGAAGAAGTCAGTGAAAACATTCACAATCCCCGCAGCTTTGGGGTCCACATACGGTTTGTCTGAAGAAAAAAGATGAATGTTGTGTGGGTGCGGTTGAACTGCTGCAAATGAATTTGTGTGCTGCAAATAGATTTTATTGAAGATTCTAGGCGTCATAATGTGCAACAAATTCATCCTGATGTAATAACATACTTCGATGATTATATTTAGTTGATCGAATACTTTTTGACTACTTTATTTACCTTTCAAAAAGGAAGCAATAGAAGCCTGTTAGTTGAAACCAGCCCTCTTCATGTATATGCGTTTTTCTAGTTTTTACTATTTCTTTCACAACGGAAAGTGAGCGGGGAGGATGTTTTGCAAAAGAGTGTGATATCCTCTTTTCATAATGGATAATAGAATTATCATAATTAATATGAAGCTGAGAATGAGGAGAGAAAAGCTGTCAAATACTTTGTTCATATTTCATGCACCTTCAGCACGAGGTCGACCTGACGATGCGTCTCTGTGTTTGATCAGTCTCATGGAGGCGTTCTGGAAAATTCCTGTTTGTGTTACATGTTTTACCCTAAACTCAATGAATGTGACTCTATACCACTAACTCATCATGAATGCTGCACCATGTCCACCACTGGAATAGTTCCTGATGCACACAGTGATCATGCTTAACTGTACCTTTTTACGCTATGTTTATGACTAACCGTCTGAGCCAGCAAGTGCTGTGAAGTGTGAAGCGCTTTGTGTGTTGCACTGGCTGTCATTGTTCTTTTTTTGTACTCTAACCAGAGGCTAGTTCATCAACGGCAGTCAATATATGTTGTGATCGTGTTGAGCGAAGAGTCCTCGTTGGAGCCGCTTGTGGTTTACTCGTTGATCAGCTTCAGAGAGATCCTCTTTGCGTGTCTGTGTCCCTGACAAAGATCTCTTTGTGTTTTTGGAGATCTGGTGTTGTTCCCAGTGAAGGATGGGCGGGAGCTTTAAGAGCCCCCCCCCCCCCCCCTAGTCTGTTTTAGCTGAGGTTTTTTTTCTGTCTTTTCATCACAGTCCTCCTGATGAACTGCGTCTTTTGGATTGTCCTGGCAGATTGGCAACGTGATGGATTAAATAAACCAATCAGTCGTCATTTGTTCCATGTTGGAACACGCGGAGCTGATGTCTCGTATAGATTTGGAGTAGTGGTTCTCAGCCTTCTCGTGAACCCCCTGAAACAAGCTAAAACATCAAGTCCTTTTTTTTTTTTTTTTTTTTTTTAAATATGTACATGAATCTACAAATATCCATTTTTAATTCATTATCACATTCCAAAAATGATCTTTCTGTGGCGGATCCTTATGTTGACAACTGTTGTCCTTTTGACTTGAACCCCAAAGAGGTTTTCTGGGTCAGTTACAAAATGGAAAAAGTGCACCAAGTGTTGTATTTGAAAGAGCTTTGTTGTTTAAACGGGGCCTTAAGGAAATTAGATTCTCTCAAACTTGCACGAAAGTGACCGACTCATTACTGTACGCACGTCAACAGTATCTGCTGACGGCACTTCTGAATGACCTCACCGGGTGCAGTTAAACCTGTTGACTCTGGACTGGTCTATTTACTTGTCAGCAGACGTAATACTCTTGCCGCTGACCGTGTTTGCTTTCAGGTGTCTGTTAATGTGAAACGGAATGTACACAACACATACCGCTGTATAAAAGGCCTTCTTTGGTCACAGATGTGTACCAGCATTGGCTAAATGAGTCGTTTGTACAACGTGTCACTCTACCGAATGTCAAAGACAGCAAAAGTATTGCACACATGCAGCAGCAACACATCCAAGTAGTGTAACTGTTTCCTCTTTGATTGTGATTGTATTCACAGAATAACAAAATATGTCTTCACCTTTACTAATGTGAAACACTGTAAGAGATGTCAATAATGTACACATGAACTCAATAGCATGAGCAATTGTTCATTTCACTGTACTGCCATTGTAAAACAATTAAACATTGATACAGTTTAGGTGTTACCTAATCCTCTGCTTCTTACTATGTTCCTCTGTTTCCTTCATAATCCTGCTCTACCTACACCTCTCCTCAGGATCACTGCTGTCATCGCTTTCCAAGACACAAAACCACTTTCAGGATGACCTGATCGTCTTGCAGCTAATATTTAGATCCTTTAACAGTAAAAATATCAATACGACAGTGTAAAATATTACAAATAAGTCATTTGCATTCAAAATACTTTACTACTTTTGTAAAAGTATGAGCAAATGTACTTTCATTATTAAAAGTGGAAGTACTTACCATGCAAAAATAACTTGTTAGAATATACTACTATAGTATGAAATAGTTATTATTGGGGCTTTAACATGTAAGCAGCATTTTACTGTTGTAGTAGATGTGTTGGAGCCAATTTTAACTACTTTATTTACTGCTTCATTAAAAGGGCCTTCCACGGATACTATTAAAGTACAAGTTCCTTTAAAATTGTACTTATTCAGTCACTGGCATTCCCCTACCAGGATGTTCAAGAAACAAAACCAAGAGCCTCCCTTTGTGTTTACCTGAACAAACAAATAAGATAAGGAGGTCTGGGATGCAGCCACTTGCTTAATCCTGCAGATTTGCTGTCTACACCATCTGTCAGATCACACCCAGCCTCTCCAAGGAGTCTGCCACACTCCTGGTCTAACATCTTTTGCAACACATTTGGAATGCTGCAGCATCCCTACATTCGTTCATCTAGCTATACCTCAAGCCTATCCATAATCTTATTTGTTCTTTGCGCTCTCTGTCCATCGCCTCTACTTTGCCCCCCCTCATCTCTATATACCCACCAAAATCATCAATAAACTACAATACATCCAGAACTCAGCTGCCTGTCTGCTCTCCCACTCCCGCACCAGAGACCACATCACCCCAGTCCTTCAAAACCTCCACTGGCTCCCCATATAGCAAAGAATCCAGTTCAAGATCCTCCTCATCACTTACAAAGCCCTCCACAACCTCGCCCCTTCATACCTTTCGGACCTCCTGTACCATCACACTCCCAACCGCAACCTCAGATCTGCCGACGCCAACCTCCTTACTCCCCCTACTCTGTCCAAGCATCGGACCTGGGGGGACAGGGCCTTCTCCGTTGCTGCCCCCTCCCTCTGGAACTCCCTGCCCCAACACCTCAGACATTCTCCGTCACCCGCCACTTTCAAAACTGCACTTAAAACTCACCTATTCAAATCTGCTTTTAACCTCTAAAGTCAGTCATGTATGTTTTCTTTCTTTTCATGTTTATTTTATAAAAATTTTTTTTCTTACTGTTATGTCGTAGATTTTGTTCTTATTATAAATGCTTCTATTGTTTCTGTTTTTAACATGTAAAGTGTCTTTGAGTGCCTTTTAAAGAGCTATATAAATAAAATGTATTATTATTATTATTATTATTATATCTCCAGCCGACGCCTGCACTCTTTATTTAAACCAGCTAAATGCTTACATACTAATGTCAAACTCATAGGAAAAAAACAACTTTGTGTTGAATTGGACAGAAATATTTTTTATTGACCAAGTTTAAATGTGAAGGGAATAGTAAACTGTTCAGTAAACATAAAGTCATTTTGTAAGACAACCATTACACGGGTTACTGGCTTAAAGAAACAAAGCCTTGGTCCTTTAATATAAAACAGCATGTAATCCTCCTTATAATAGTTCAACTGAATGTTTACAGGTCGTAAAACAATCCATCAGTACGTCATGAGCATTTAAAACTGCTGGCAAAGCAGACATCCGTCTAACTTCAGAGTCTCACGGCATCTGGTTCTTTGCTTTCGTGTTTCTCTTCAAATCTGCTTTTGTCTCCTTTCTGGTTCAATGTTTTTTTTCCATCACTGAATCTGTGAGAGGAGCTGCTCTCTGCGCTCTGCACTGATGAAGAAGCGGAGTTTCCGCGGCAACAGCCTCACCTCTACGGGCATGGCCTCGTACTCCTCGTTGTCGATGCTGTAGAAGCCAGCAGCACCCTGTGGGGTCAGGACATCAAGTTAAATGTCACGACAAAAACTAACAGACAAAGCTTTAGAAAGTAAACTAAATGATACGAAACACAATCCTTAAATAGTTACGATTTTCTTTGACGTGACACAAAGAAATAGGATCGAGTCACTTAAACGGGGTTCTGACCTCTGGCAGCTGCAGCTGGCAAGCACTGGCTTCCAGTTTTGTGGAGTCTTTGGTGAATACAGCGGGGTCCTCTTCTTTTTTACTCCTATAATGAAGAATTGACATTGACATTCTTTTACTTGAATGTACCAACTCATTTATAATGTACATCGCCTCCGTTTGAAGTCGACTAAACAAAAACTGAATCTACTGACCCGACAGTGATGTACTCGCCCACTGTGAAGTTGTCCGGTTCTGCACAGATCATCAGGGAGTCATTTATGCGCTGCAAGTTCAAATAAACAGACACAAATGATATTTTTTCTGAGAGCAAAACGAGGCACAATAGTGGGATCTTATCATGATTTTAATAAGAACAGGTACAAGATTTAGAAAAGGAATTGATTTTGGACTGACCCTCTCCACTGGGTTTTTGTTGTGCGTTTGAATAAACAGCTCCAACGTCGACAGATGCTCCTCCTTCCACTGCTCTTGCTCTTCCACTTTTGGAGGCTCTGAGCAAAGACACACACAAACCACCCAAAAAAATACAACTCACAGTCTTTGACATGCTGTGATCGCAGGATCAACACAATGACACACACACACACTACCTTCGACAGGAGGGTACCAGTGGTTTTTGAGCCTGCGCATGATGCGGTACAGCAGGTTAGGTCTGGGGGGCTTCTGAGGGCACAGGTCAGGGGGCCGTAGGCTGGGAGCCAGGTAGGACACTGAGACCTCGCGGACCAGGGGCCACTCCTGAGGGATTTTACAACAGCATAAGATTAAAATACATCTGCAGCCACAGAACTATAACAGTTATGGGTGACAAGGAAAACAGGGGAAGACATGAAATACAGCAATAACCTCAAGACATCTACTGTCTTTGATGAGATACTGATGTTAGATATTGAGGCTAGATATTCAATATTTAAACTGTTTAAAATGTATTGAGTGTCTTATTCAAAAGTATAAGTATACTTTTGTCAGGATGGAAAACTTCTAAAGCACCATTTGGTTTATTTCAGGATACAGAGATTCCACTGATACCAGATAACAGCTTTTTAAGGTAGACTGACTCAATACAACAATTAGGTATTCCATGGTTGTAGGAAATAAGCGATAAACGCCACAGACGCTTCCTTTGAAAGAAAACAGTTGGCAAAGTCATAACTAGAGAGTTGCACAAAGGGAAAAACATCCTTCAAATATTTTTTTCACAACAGGGAGGAACCTCTATGACATTGACGGGAGCTGACATGGCTTTCAAATATCAGCTATCTTATACAAGGCCAACACTGGTTCAATACACTGTTCTTACCCAAACATGTTCAGAAAATATATTGCCTTACCCGTAGAGTACTCAGCCAATGTGCTGCATTTGTCTTCAGTGGTCCAAGGTACCAATATCTATGAGGAAATATGGTTAATTATTATTTTGTATGGGGAACTATGTCATGGTTATAATAAGAGTGACCAATTGTATATTCTTACTTGCTGATTGTTGCAGCCACATCTCTAAAAGCACCCCAACGTAGTCCCGTCAGAGCGAAGACTGGCTGATCTTTCTCCCCCTAAAAACACACGCACGCACGCACACACACACACACACACACACACATTTGAATTCCTTGTCCAACCGCTGACACATAATATCTCACACTGCATAGAAAAAACAAAACAAAACAGTTTGTGACAATTTAACTTCATTATCCTGTTTGATTTTTTAAAAAGCCACATTATAAAGTGTGAAATCATATATTTCTCAAAATATTTGTTAATTTGACCTGAAAACAAATACTGACATCAGCAAGTATCTGCATTCAAGAACAAATACTACGTCGATAACTTTGAGGCTTTGTAGAATAGACAGAGGCAGTTTCTCACTTTGATTTGCAGCACATCCAGAGGAACGGTTTCTCCCTTTAGGATGGACAGTGTTGCTGATGTAATGTCTCTGGAAAGGGTGGAAAAATGGGTTTAAATTACGTATGTGGAAAACGCGTAGCATGTCCATATCCACGTATATTTACTTGGCGAGACACATCCAGTACACAGGTCAAAAGATTATGTGATGATAACATCTGGATCTTTCCTTATGATATTGAAGAGGTACATACTTGACCTTGTTGTCACTGAGGAGGTGAAGACTTGGACTGAGGGAATTGCGAGAGCCCAGTGGAATGAATCCAATCGGTGTGTTACAGACTGTGTCCTGTCGTCAAAAAAACGTCCATCAGTGACATCAATAAAAGAAAAGTTTGAATTAAGTCGTCTTGCAGATCAACACAATAACTGTGCGACACCTACTTGATCCGGTCTTCGCAGTAAACCTGTGACGACTTCCTGCAAGGTGCCGTCCCCTCCGGCCACGATGAGCACATCCGTATGTTCCATGAGCTCCATCAGTTTTTTCGCCTGGCCTTCATAATCCGTCTGGAGAGGAAAACAGGATGAATATGTGATCACGGTGCCACGGGATGGGATCCCTACTAGAGCCACTCATAGCACTGATGGGCTCCAAGGGAAATTACCTTTACTATTGTAATCTCCACACCAGCCAGGTGTAAAATCGGAGCAGCATTCTTTTCAAACAGTTTGTTGGCTTTCCTGGGGAAGATTGAGAGAGATAGTTGGAAATATTCTGAGAGAGACTGTTGTCTGATGTTCCAGACAAACCTGTCAGTGAGAGAGTCTTCTTACCCACTGCAAGCTGCAGGGTTCAAGATCACTGTCGCTTTCCTCAGACGCTCCTGCGGTGCTATCAGTTGACGCCCGAATTCCTAAAAGAAATAATGATGGTGAGGACTATAGGCCCCTGAAGAGGGGTTTTGCTTTAAATGCTGACAACATGAAGTGCAAGAATAAGTGATGTCTTACCCTGGCGGCGAGACAAGCCTCTTTCCTCAGAACACTGTCACTGATCAGACACAAAATGTGAGACACACGAACAATCAGTGGCACAGACCTGTGTAATTATTATAATCTGAGGAAATATCATAACCTGAAATACTCACCAGTGTATGCCATACAGCCAGTGGCCCCCGTAAGACAGGACGCACACAGCAAATGTGGACTTCTTCCAGTTGTTCCGCAGAGTCCGAAACACTTTCACAACCCGAGCCATCGTTTTTGATTAAAATATACCAAAGCCCTCGATTTAAATGCGGTGCTACCTTTACGGCGGCAGCGAAGTATTGTATTCACGAATGACAAATTTCCATGTCAGCGGTCATGGATCCGCAACTGTCAGGCGGAGGGTGGACATGTTGGTGTAACGTCAAAACAGTACGTGGCCCAACACAGGGCGGAACCAATGTTGGTACATGTTATGTTTCATCAACGCGTTTCAAATTAAAAACGAGTACAGCTTTATCAAAATGTCATAGAAAACAATATTAGAAACAGAACGGAATTTATTAAACACATTGGAATTTCAATTAAATTAGCAGTTGAGTTGATTTGCATTAGTAAACTACAATTCCCTTCCGGTTCCTACGGTCCGAGGACCTCGCCTGAAGGGAATATACAGAATTACGGCAATGTTTGAAATATTTGTACCCACATAATTACCTAATATTCACAGTTAAATGAAACTAGTACATTTTACTAGAACAAATTTTGTCACAATGTGTTTATAGAATTGATCATTTTAAATTTCACACCGGCACAAACCTAGAAGCTGCTCCTCTCCAATCTTCCGAGTGTATCATGGCGGCGCAGATGGCGGTAAATTCGGGTAGGCACTATAGTTTTTTGATTAAGTAGCTTCATTGTGTTGATTCCTAGCTGTGGCTAGTGGTTGTTTTTTCACAGATACATTTGTGGATATTTGCCTTTTATCGCCTGTTTTGTCGCATGTCCTGTTTTGACCACATGGTGACGGATCACTCAATTTCAGACTGCTAAGCTAAATTAGCATAGTTTACGAGTAAACGTTAGTTTAGCTGATGTTGGTTTCACAATTATTCGGTGGGTAAAGACGTTTAACGTTACACTGTTACACGGTTAACGTTAACGTGTTTTCACATTATAACAAATGACATACGGCAATATGACTTCTCCGGCGCAACTCCTGGTAAATGGGTCAACAGACGAGTTTACTTCGTTCATTGGAAGCAAAGTGAAACGACAACATATTTGCCATCCCTGCTTGGCATGCTGTCCTTGGTTTCCACAGTTGCATCACAGTAACGTTTGTGTAAATCAGTTTAGCTAACGTCCAGACTCAATCTAGCCTTCTGGTTTACAATACACCTGTCAGTGGGCAATGAATCTGTGTCAGTTGTTTACTGGTGAGGCTGTTCATATGTATTTGTACAAACCTGTAATACAATAATCAATTAACTCAAAGCATAATTATGAGGCTTAATCTACAATAACAAGCGTAACAGGTGAAAAGCTCTTCTAAGAAAACTGATATTGGTAATGTAACGTGACGGTCATTTCACTGGTTCTATAGGTTACTGTCAATCACATGTCAATCTTTCATCTTCTAAGTCTGTATGATGTTTACACATCAGCATCTGTATTAGTTACAGTGCTCATTGTTGCAGTCTGTAAGAGGTCTGAAATGTCAACATGAAAAAGTCAGAGGCTCAGCCCCATCCATCAGATATTAAAGATGCTTTTGTTGTATTAACAATAATTCACATTAACTTGCCAGGATAGAATTTGACTTGCAAAATGTGAGTCCAGTTAGGAGTGCTGAATCAGTCAGGTGCCATATATGAGATACTCTAAATGTATATGTATGGTTATAAGAAACTAACTATAGATCTGTGAGAATCAGTCCTGTGCATGTGTGCTGATACAAGACCTTTGGAAACCCATTTACCCCCCCAGGAGCCAGTCTGTGGGGGCCGCTGAAGGAGTTGTGGGAGACGGTGGACGGGGCGGTGTTGAGGAGGCAGCTAGAGAGCGTCCACCTCCTCGACTTGCAGCTGAAGAAACACAAACCGCACTTTCTCTCACTCTATAAGAACCCGGTGAGATGCTGTGCAAACACACCATTTGTAACAATAGTATTCTTCCTGTGTATCCTGCAACGTCCTTGGTGCAGACAGACTAATTTGTGATGTCTCGAGGCTGTAATGTTGATAGGATCTGGTCTCCTCTTCATTTTTTTTAGCCAAAGAGTGCTGAGCAGAGAGAGAAGGTGCGTAAAGCCAGCACAGAGGGCATCGCCATCCAAGGTCAGCAGGGGTCCCGGCTCCTTCCAGAGCAGCTCCTCTCAGAGGCCTTCATCCTCAGCGATTTGTTTGATATTGGAGAGTTAGCGGCTTTGGAGCTTCTGTTAGCAGGTAAAGTGGACATAAGAAAAAGACTTTATTTGGAAGCAAAGTTATAAAGGAAGTTATGTAGTACATTTGGTGAGTGTGTATAATGGCTATTTTGTTTTAGGTTTGTCTTGATCAAATCCATGATTTGGAGACAATGCCTTGCATGGCTGTCAGTAGAAGACATTGCTTCACACAATTTATACTCTAAATATATTCATCTATCTCCAGGTGAGCAACAGCAGCCCCATTTCCCAGGTCTGACACGAGGTCTCGTAGCTGTGCTGCTCTATTGGGATGGAAAGCTCTGTGTGGCCAACTCCTTGCGCACACTCATCCAGTCACGCCATGGCAAGACCTTCACCCTGGACCTGAGGTAATGACGCTATCTACGATTAGCACATACAAGCAATGACAAGTGCATTTAATGCTCCACATGATGAGCATGTTATTGTCCTGATTTCCCCCCCCTGATTGACGTGTACTGTTGTTTGGTTTTCTCATTCAGTGGCGAGCTGGTGGCTTTGACGACACGTTTTACAGATGAACTAATGATCCAGGGTCTCACCAAACGCATCCTAACCTTGGTGTCGGAGATAAATGTGGCGCGCGAGTTTGAACGACTGCAGAAGGAGCGCGGCTTGGGCAATGAGAAGCACAGGAAAGAGGTGGGAGCAAATCCTTTATGTTGACTTGAAACAGAGATGATTATCTTTTTTCAATATGTTCAATCTTACTCGACTAGTGTAAAGCCAGGAGCTTTCTGTTGTCACTGAGAAACATGGAGGAGAAGAATAAAGCGAGTGGAATATGGACAACATTTAACTCCCTCTCTTGTCCCAAGGTCTCTGACCTCATCAAAGAGTGCCGACAGGCCCTGGCAGACAGCCTGTTTTCATGGACCTGCCAATCGCCTTTGTCTAAAGATGACACCCTGGCTCTTATCGGCCACCTGGAGACAGTGACCGCTCAAGCTGACGGCTCATTGGACAGTGTGAACCTGGCGCTGGTCATGGCACTACTCTACTGCTTGGATGTCAGTTTCGTGGAACAGGGAACAGAAGATAGAGATGGTGAGAACATGCTAAATACATATTGTGTGTATAATTGAATTTTGATCGTAGTTGCTTGTCAAATCCACTTAAACGTACTACTCCTTGCTATGAAGAAGATTGCTGCTGTTTTTAGTAAATGTCTTCTACAGCTGGTGAAGGATTGTCTCTGTGTTCCTCTAGATCTGATCCAGACACTGCCGTTGCTGACCGAGAGGCAATATGTGGCTGCAGTACACAGCCGTCTGATGGACGGCCAGCCGTGGAAGCTTCCAGGTCTGCAGGCTGTGTGTCGTCTGGCCTGGGCTCTGTCTCTGAGGGTCCTTTCTCAGCTACCACAGGGATGTGGTAAGGGTTTTTTTCTTGGATATGCATTAAATATACCTTCTAGCTGTTTGAATAACGTTTTGAATGAGATCTCAAAGATAGTAGCCATTTAAAGAGTATATTTTTAAATGTGTGTGTGATGCGCAGCTCTGGTGGAGTTCACCGAGGCAGACGAGGCTCTGGCTGACCAGGCTCTACTGGGAGATGTCTTCCTGTTCATGAAGGAGGGCATTCTGGGATGTGAGGGTTTTGCCCAGGAAGAGTTCTACATCCGCCGCCTCCATTCACTCATCACAGACTTCCTGGCACTCATGCCAATGAAGGTGAGAGATGCCGCAGATGTTTGACTTGTCATGTTGTAGTGTTAGCTTCTCTCTGATGAGTTATCAGGTTGTAGTTTTGTTATTTTGCATGTTGATTAAGTCGTTTAACATATTGTTACTGTATTTTGTAGGTGAAACATCTTCGTAATCGCGCTGATGAGGATGCCCGTCTGGTGCACATGTCCTTACAGATGGACAGCGAGCTTCCGTCATCGATGCGCAAGGACTTAGAACACCTCATGATCCTCGTCAGTGTTTGCAAACACACACACACTTAGCAACATCACCTTTCACATTTTAAGAGTTGAACTGATAGCTGAAATGGAGGTACTGAGCAGGAGGAGAATAAGTCACTGTGGGTTTGAGTTTGTAACAGTGTTGGTTACTGCTTTGTCTTTCCAGATAGGAGAGTTTTACAGTAAGGACTCATTTGGGCTGGAGTTGGGTCTGGAGTTCTGGGGTCACACAGAGTCTCTTCAACACACCTCCCTGCAGGGATCTTACCTGGGAATGGCGCTGCAAAGGCCTCCACATAAACAGGTAGGAGCTGTGTTTTCTAGAACCTTGTAGCACAAGTATCTCCTCGCACCAAGAATTGTAGAAGGTCGTAGGATGTTTTTAAAATGTTGAATTTGTATTAATCTGGCGTTCTGTTGAAAGGTTTTCTCTTTTCTTTATTGTAGGTGGTTCTGTCCAAGTTTGTGCGTCAGATGGGAGACCTCCTCCCCTCCACCCTCTACATCTCCTATCTCCGTATGCTGAAAGGCCTCGCCAATGGTCCCCAGTGTGCCCACTACTCCTTCAGTCTGCTTAAAACCAATGGAGCCTCGCACAGTAAGAGCAGATCGTTGTTATCACTTTGTGATAGACTTTGTAAACTTGTCGTCTGGGATCGAATAAGACTGAATATATTTTCAGATCGATATCTGAAATCGGAGCTATTGAACATTTGATGTGCAGTTTGGCCTCCTTGCAAATTAGATTTTGTGGTAATCTGGTTTTGTAATTAGTGGTTTGACCATTTTTGAGGTATGTAACTGTTCAGTAGTAAATAAGAAAGCAATATAGACCATTTCAAATCCTAAAAAGTAATTTAACTTCAAATGTAGGTGATCTGAACATCAGACTCTAAAAGCCTGCTGCTTTAGTTTAATACATATCCAAATGAGTGGACATTCACCTCATGTTCATGTATGCAGGTGACAACATCCAGGGCGTTTCAGGCAGCGCGGTGTCCTGGGAACATTTCTTTCACTCCCTCATGCTCTACCATGAGAACCTGCGGCGAGACTTTCCAAAT